CATTTTTTAACTTAATGAATGTTATTCCTTCCAATATCAAGGTAAATATATTACCTAGTAAAATGTGCTGGGATTTTAAATGAAAATTTAACAAGCATTGAAACCCTGTACAGTGGTCCTCAACTTATGACCAAAACTGAGCCCAAACTTTCTGTTGCTCAGTGAAACATTTGTTAAGTGAGTTCATTTTATGACTTGTCTGACCACAGTTGTTAAGTGAATCACTGCAGTTGGTAAGTTAGTAACATGGTTGTTAAATGAAACTGGTTTCTCCACTGACTTTGCTTATCAGAAGTTCACAAAAAGTGGTCACATGACTCCGAGACTCTGCAACCATCATAAATATGAGTCAGTTGCCAAGCGTCTGAATTTTGATCATGTGACCATGGGGATGCTACAATGGTCATAAGTGTGAAAAACAGTCATAAGTCACTTTTTTCAGGGACGTTGCAACTTTGAACAGTCACTAAATGAACTGTTGTAAATTGAGGACTACCTGTACAAAGTTAGCCCAAATAAATTTTATACAAAGTTAGCCCAAATAAACTTTATCAGATAGGGTTCCCTAGGTAAGCCCTCAGTCTCTGGGATAAATGGGCAATGAATTAACCCTGAGCCTAACTGAACTGCTGACACCACACTATTCCCAAAGTCCTGGGTATAAGCAATATACCCAATATGATTCTATCTGTGGATTAAGTTCCCTTATTGTTAGTAATTTATAGACAATTGTACATTATTTCAGGTGGGTTGTGGTGTATTACAATCTTACACAGCATAAGTTCTGCTGAACATAATGGCATTTAATTCTGCATAGACCACTGACCTAGATCCACCATAGACTCCCTGGAACATAAAGATAAGGAGGAGGGTTTTTTTTTATAACAATGCTGTGTTAAAAATTATTGTCTTCTTCAATTTGACGAAAAAGAATTGTTGCTCCCTTCTTCTCTAAAAGGGACACAAAAATTTTAGTACAATTCTGATCAGTGGAGTGCTAAATTTAACATTTTGTTTAGTTATGAGATGACAGAAGAATCTAATGTCATGTGTGAATGTCTTGTCTTTCATTTGACAAACTTTTCTCTGATTGTCTGCAGCTTTTCTGGCTTCCCAAACATCAATTAAATCCCAAATGAAAACATTATGAAGAAACTCATCCCACAAAGATTTTCCTGATCTGAAAACCTGGATTGCCAAGGAAGTCGTAGCAAGATGTGGACATTTATAACAGAGCACCACTATTTACTGTACATAACATTAGAGTAAACCCTAAAGCACCACAGATAGAAATTCTAAAGGTCCTAGGTATGAAATAGAATATCAAGAGTATTTTTTGGAAGGGGAAAAGTAACGTTGAAAAACTGAAAGTCAGATGCCGGTGCAGTATTAATTGCAGTTGAGATGGACTTTTCAATAGAGATTTTTATGCATATGTATAAACCCAATTAGATTGAAAGAAAATTTGTAAACATGAAAAAGCTATGTCTGAAATAGAAAGTGTAAGGGATGCCTTCCTTTGCTACAAACCAAAATTAGGCAAGTCATCAGAATTCTGAATGGGATATAATTGCACCATGGTCTAAAACCCTATTCCTCCTTATCACATCAGTGCCTAAAAAAAGAAAGAACTGTACTGGATCAAATCAAAAGTCCTAGTAGACTATGTAGCCAGAGATGCCAAGACCTTGTTTTCTCATTGTAACTGGAGCTACTGTGAGGGAATTCCATCATGAACCATTTAAATTAGAAACCATCACTTAGATGGCAAACTCTAAAAGATTCATTTCCTGAAAAACATATCACACAAACTTCTATGGCATCACAAGGGATTCTGGAATCACACTTAGTTGCATCGAGAAGCTGCTTTTGCCTAGTACAACATCAATATGAATACCAAGATGTCTCTTCCTTGGGCTCAATATCGGCAAGACCAAAAAGTTAGAACAGTGTTTCTCAACGTGAACAACTTTAAGATGTGTAGATCGCAACTCTCAGAATTCCCTAGCCAGCATGCTGGATGGTGAATTCTGGGAGTTGAAGTCCACACATCTTAAACTTGCCAAGTTTGAAAACCACCTAGTTAAACCCATTTTCAACAAATTACATAAAACAACGTTCCTGAGCCATATCCTCATTATGAATCATTCCATATGGATTTTTCTCCCACTCAAGACTTTTTCCCTATTTTTGTCATACTGATATATTTTTTCACATTGTACTTTACCATGAAATCCTCCACTGTGTTTTGAGTCCCATTCCTCCCATAAAATTCTATCAGTTTCTTGTATCTTTAAAAGAAGCATTGAAATGTCAATAAAATCCCATCTAAGTACAGTCTTGGAAATAAAAGAGAAAAACTAAAAATTTCCTCCCAGTAAAGGGGGTAGGAAGTCTATTCCAGATGGTAGGTAACTAGTATGGGCCTTTTTGGAATGTATTTTATATTTTTTCATTTGTAGGGGTGCCCTTTATGCTGCCTTTACAATTTCCTTTTTTAAAAAAGTACATTCAGATTTCTCTCAGTGCATTTCTTTGGAAGTCAGTTTGTCAAAGTTACGCACCAAGATTTGGTCTTTTCACATCAAGATTTGGCAGGGTTGCAGTATAAATTATGTTGCAATAATTCTTAATAAAATTGTTTTTATTATTATTGAAACAAACCATTTGCTATATCATTAAAAGAAGCTTTTCTAGAACAAAAATGTTGACGTTTTCTTTGAATTTGGTAACACTACACCAACCCATTCTCAGATGTTCTACCATTCCTATTATGAATTTCAGTCATTTAAAAACCTTTATCAAAAACATATCTTCTTATGTTTAAGATCTGGTTTTAACACACCTAGGTGAGGAAACTGAATTATGGCTAAATTTCTGTCCTTAAATCACTTAGACATAAGTATTGCAGCCAATATGGTCCCATATGAGCTATCAAATGATTAAGCCTAAGAAAGGGAGACAAGAATAGAACACACTGATAAATTCCTGTTGGCTTTTTAGTCAAAACTGGTCCATTAATATTATGTTAATATTACATGTTACTAATTACATGTATCAAATGTAAATATGTTTTTAAAAGAAAGAAATGGATCTAGTGGCAATAGAAAGTAAGAAATATATCATTTAAAAATGCAATCCTACAAAACCTATCTGGGCGTAAGTCCCGTTGAAGAAAACAGGACTTACTTCTGAATAGGAATGTATACGATTGCACCATACTGGTACATAAAAGAAAGATACATACAATTGAAAAAACTGTGCATTTGAACAAAATGTTACACAGGCTAATATACAAAAAGTAATCCATATGATATTTGGGATAAATAAAAGGGATTAAGTTGTATAAAAAATATAGCAATGAACACCTGTGGGTTTTTATATTTATAAATATAAATTTCACAATTTATATTTATATTTAAGATTTGTTCTATACACTACATACACAGCCTAGACTGTATCAACCTAAATTACATTATTAACATTGTATTTCATCAGTGTACTCACTTGGTGGGTTCAAAAATAACTTGGCAACAATTCCGCAATGTCCATAGAAATGCCCACAATCTTAAGCAGTTTAAGATCTCAGGCAAAAACATTGACAGGTTGGAGCGTCTACCAGGCGTACTTTGCTGGAGTTGGTTATAGGAAATGCAGGTTCAATTCTTGGTCATAAAGACCTGTGGGGGATGGGAGAGGTATTCCTGTATCACCTGTGCTGAACATACTTGGCCCGTCCATCCTCCCACCCCACCCTCGGGCCCTCTCGATGTACAGTATAGAATGGAATTTCCAGGATTTTCAATTTATAATGGAACTGACTTCTGGAAATATATATATTCATACAGAAGCACCAGACTGGAAAGATTGGTAAAAATGGGGTTTGAGTGGGAGGGTGGATTTTGCTGTTTTTAATGGGACGTTGTACATGAAAGCATTATGTTAATAAATAACAACAATTTATTAAATTATAAGATGAGAAAAAGCTATAAGGCAGCACAAAGCTAGGTTTCTTAAATACCAAAAACATTAATAAAGTAAAAATATTCTAATCACATCCAGGATGGTCCCTAAGTCTTATGAAGTAGTTTTAATGTTAGAAAAACTGTGACAATTTTTCAGAATAACAACAGCTATTGCCATATGCCCTTTAGCTGCTCAGCCCTGTTGATCAATTAGATAATTGATCAAATCTTCATCTAGGGAGATTAGGCTTTCCTTCAAGCCACCCAAAGAGCCTATCACTTATGAACATAAATACATTTTAATTTGGGAAGGAAACAAGGAGCATATTTTGTTAGAATTGTAACAGGCTTTATCTTAAGAGAGACCAACTTCTTGTAGTGTTGGAGGGGCAGTGCATGTATGGAAGAAAGTGAAGGGGAAAAGCTTCTTCTATGATGTCCGCTATCTATCATTTCTGAAAATTCATTTGCAAGAATATTTTCAAAATTTATAGAAACTGCCTTCTGTCTCAATTAATTAAAAAACAACAACAGGCAATGGCCATGACTCAAGTGTCAGTAACCAACAGTAACAAAACACAAAGTCTATTCTTTCAATAGCACAAACATATCCTAGACTTCTAGTCTTCTTTGCTTTGGCATGTTTGGTGTGTCAAGTGGCAAATAAGACACTCCTAACTGGATGCATCCTACTCTGTGTATGTCTCCATGCCCTTCACACTGAGCAACCTTCCCCACCCGGGTATCCTTCCATGTGGATTGGACTCCATCTCCCAGGATGCCTAGCAGCAGCAGGAATGAATCTAGTCAGGTTAGTAAAAGTAGAATATGGAGATGAAGATAATAAAGTGCCTGTTTTTTGCTATAGAAAAGGGGAATCACAGGGAATTGGTATCCAGGCCTTGAAGATGTGGCAGCAAGGAGGGTGGGAGAGGGTTAAACACGGATACCAAAGTGTTTCAAAGGAATGAGCACCAGGATTTGTTTTTTGTATACACAGTGGGCCATTCATGACTGCAGGGAATTGACACTTACAAGTTGCTGAAAAGCTGGTTGATCTATGTCACTCTGCAAGGCAAAATCGCTGAGGACTTTCCAGGGCGGCTGGTAACTCTGCACCTCCACTGGGTTTGCTTGCAAGCCACCGTCATGTCTCTCTGGACTGGCTGCCACCATGGGAGTGCCGGTCATCCCCTGGATGTTCTACAAACAAGGCAGTACAGCAATGAGCAGCCATACTAAAGAGACCATAGATGCCTGGTACATCAAAAAAGCTATCAGCTGTGCTTGGCTTTAATGTACATCCTCCACCAATCCTCTAAGTTCCTCTGACTTCCATAGCACCTGCAACAAGAGGGCTTCATATTTTATCCCCTTAATGATAGTAGTATACTATTTAGAGACAGACCCATTTCTAGCCTGAAACAACCCCAAAGAGGCTTGCACATCAGCAAAACTCCCATTTCATGTACATTTTCAGTTGCATTTAGTAACAGAAGGGTGCCTCTCTAGCTCTGCAATCTATGTTGCCATTCTATATATCCCCAGTGTTCTCCAAACATGTGGTATCTCCATCTCTCAACCAATCCAGACAAAGCTATTGTTCTCAGAGACCTGTAGGATGATGAGTCTATTGGAGGAAAAAATGTCACTCCTGAGTTTAAGATGGTTGTTCCAGTTCCAGAAAGGTAGAGAGAAATCATTGTTTATATTTTCAGAGAATCTAAACCAGTTTCCAATGTAAAACATACATTACTGGAGCAGGATCCTTTCATTAAAAATAATAATAATACACTTAGGCATTATAATGAGAGAGCCATGATAGTCAAATGACAGCAAAAAAAAAAAAAAAATCGGGAGTCTGGTAGCAGCTTTTCCAACTAAGTGATTTTATTAAAGGAATAATCACAAAAGCATATACCATTTAATAAAACTCATTAGAAAAGGAACTAAAAGATTCCTCCTGATTTTGAACCCAGAAAAGAGAGCTGTTGAAATCACATTCTAGGATTCACTTTTACCTGAGAGTAAGTCCCAGCATCCTTAGTGACGCTTACTTTTGAGGAAATTATTAGTAAAGAAGGCTACAACCACCATGCCTTGAATGGGCAGTAAGACTCAGCGGGAACAGAACCGGTGTCTCCGGATTCTGAAGATCCTTGTTTATTTGTTTTCCTTTCAGCTTCCATTTTTTTTCTTTGAGGTTGGTGGGGGGAAGGCAAAGGGAGGGAGGAAGGAGACCAAGGCTGAGCAATGGTGAATCCTCCATCTCTACTACTCAAAACACACACACTACTTCTTACCCACACATACTCCTATTTTCTTTGACACCCTCTTTCCATCCCTTTTGCTGTCTCTACTTAGTAATTTAATCAGAAAGAAGCATACGGTAGCTATACCACAGTATTGACTTGTTCACTTATTTGAGACTTCCTTTTGAGTAAATGTGTCTTAATACTCTTCTTCACTAGGAAACTTGATTTCATTAGTGGGAGTTACATTGGAGCTACCAGTTCTGGCCTCCAAACATTCATATGGAAACAGAGGCAGAGGTTCTCTAACTCTTCACTCCCTTCTTATGATCATCTGGATGTGTGCTGTCAAGGCATATTAGCGCTTGGTTACATTCATATATAAAGTTAAAAACAAAACAAAGCTGTAAACATTAAAATTTCGGAATCATGCAGGAACTCTTATTCAGCTACTGCCACTCCCCAGCATATGTGTAAGAGCTCAACTTGTGACGTGAATGATAAACTGGATCTATAAATAAGGTGGAAGTAAAAGGCAAATAAGACAAGTGCAAAGCTTTCTTATCTGCTTGGGGACTGGAGAGGGAGAGAAAGTGCAAAACAGTAGGAAAAGGCTTCAAGGTTTACTCTAGAAGAGGGGTGTCCAACCTGTTCACCACAAGTCTTAAAATTGCCAAGGTTGGTCATCCTTGTTCTTAAAGTAAAGATTGATTATGAAATTTAAGTCTGAACGTGCTTGGAATCACCATGATTCTCTCTCTCCCCCACACGCATTGATTCTGGATTAAGCCCACAGGATAGCTTTAGCTTAGTCTTCATTCCTAAGCATTTTGAACATACAAATAAATGACATTCTTCTTAAGGCCACCCTAAGAGGGAAAGAGACTGACATTTTTATTTATCTGCTGCCTTTATTATTTTTCAGATAAATAACTCATTTGATCAAACTGACATTTTTGTTCCTTCTCTGGCTGTGTGAAGAAACAGTTGGATACAGATAGATCACAACAGGTCTTGAGTTAGGGGCAGAATTCTTCATTCAAAAGAAGCCACCAGAGGGTCATCAAAACTGCCAGATTATGTTTGTAAAAAGAGAGTCTAAGGAGGCAGTACAATTCCAGTGGAGTCTGCAGCTCCAGTCATTAAATTCTAAATTTAGGAACTGCCAATTGCACCACTGCAAAGTAGTCCATACCAGTCTGGACTTAAGCAGTGTTTGATTCCTTATGCTGCAACACCAAGTCAGCACATTGGGCTGCTCATTTATCTTTGATGTTTGTTTTTTATTTATATACCGCCTTTATTAATAATTATTAATTTTATTTCAATTAATTTACCATTATTATTTATTAATAATTATTAATAATTCAAGGCAGCAAACATAATAACCAACAAATCTTCCTCCAGTGAGGTGAGTTGGGCTGAGAGAGAGTGACTGGCCCAAGGTCTCTAGCTGGCTTTCATGGCTAAAGCCAAGCTTGAATTCAACTTGGTTTCTTCCTTTTTAGCCTGGTGCTTTAACTATTAGACCAAACTGGCTCCCTTTATTTCATTTATTTAATTTAAGTCAAGGCCATGCCAGTGAAAAGTCATCCTCTCTGCTTTGTCAGAATTCAAGGCTTCTTTTTATGTGTTGTTTCTGTTTGGGTGGGGAGACCAAAATCCTGTAGGTATTTTAAAGGACTTGCATCCAAAATAGCTTCCAAATTCAGAGCAATTTATATTCCTTTAAATTGTAGGATTATGACATTCTGCAGTGGTGAAACACCACTCTTGAAGTTCCATTTGACAAGGCTTTCAGCCTTTAAAACAAATTAAATACTGCTTCCCACATTTGAGTACTAAGGTGAGCAACAATTAGGGTTTCTTCATGAACATGTAAAAGGAAAGATGGAAGTGGGACTGGGGAAAGTAGTCTACTTTTCTCATTTGATTTAAAAATAGTCTTTCACAATATTCACTTAAATACTGCAACTACTGACTTAAACAAGCTCAGGTCCATGACTTTTTCTTTAATAAATACCACCCCACTCAACAAGGGGTCTTTCCTGTGCCAATGTGATTCAGGATTACAATTTTGGACTTTATTTTGGCTTCACCTGGTTCCAACAAGGATCCCCTCAAATTTACTGGAATCTACTTCAGTATGAACATTCAGCAAGATTTAGTTCCACTGAATGAAATGGACCTAATTACAGTTCCCAAATTAAGGTTTCCTGAATCAATTCTTTCTAAAAGAAAAGCAATGGGAAAAGTAGGAAAATATACAAGGATTAGAAGACAATATGTCAACTCATTTTATATCCTGGGAATGAACAAAAACTCTTCACAAAGGTACCTCTATCTGGAGAGAGTAACATATATTGATAATCACTGACATTATTAATTATTATTAATAATTAATATTATTTCTAGGAATATGTTGTGAACCTCTTTGGTTTCAACTATAACTTACTCACTTGATGCCTAGCACTGGATATTGATAGAATTACACCTCTTCTTTAGTTATCTCAATCTCTTTTTTAACTGGTTTTGTTGCATTCTGCTCTGCCCAGTGCAAATCAGGGCAGCTCTAATAATGAGCCTAAAACAGAGATAAACCCAGGTCTCCTATCATCAAATCAAGCCCCGTTCTCAAAATTACTCCTCTTTTTCCTGGGAAAAAGGCCCTCTTCCTATGGATTCAACCAGCCTCCTTGCTCTGGAGCTATTATAAAAGGCACAGGTCTGCCTTCAAGGAAAGAAATTTTCTTTTCTCTCCTTCCCTCTCTCCTTCCTCTCCCCACTGCCCCCCCCCCCATTTAACTGGATTGAGAGCATAATTAATTGGCACTCAGAATGTTTCCATCAAAACAAAACACCCATTGGAGCAACATCACGCACACACGCTTACAATATCCACCCCTAAATCTCAAGGGGCTTTCAAGCAAAAATAAAAAAGGGGTGAGGAGGGAAACTAAGACCTTATTTACAAATCATCCTAAGGCAGTATTTCAATCTTGACAACTCTTAAATTGTGTGTTGGAGAATTGGCTGGAGAATTCTGAGAGTTGAAGTCCACGCATCTTAAGAGTTGTCAAGGTTGAGAAACACTCCCCTAGGCCATGGTTTAGTCATGGTTGAAGCCACACATACAACAGGTTACACCTAAAGCCATACCAAACTATAGACTAAGTCAAAACTGAACAAGCCCTCTTATAACTGAACAGAAGATAGGCGAGCTTAGTTTATGGCTGTGTTCACGTACATATCTATTTCGGTTACATCAATCTTACAGTAACCAATTGCTTATCACAACTCAATGAACTGTAACTACCCACATTACAGCTAACCACACAGACAGGTTTCTCCACCAGGTTAAGCTAAAATTTGGAGGAGGTCATTTGTGGTTCAGTGTGTTGCAGGAACACATCCTCTTCGACCGGAATGCAAACCCATTTAATTCAAGAGAGCTGGGTACAAACTCGAGGCGGTGACTGCGGAGGGGATGGTTCTCACGACACCCTGAACCCAGCCCTCAGCTCCGCCTGAAAATGCAAGCCTCTCTTGAAGACGGCTGCCCCCTAGAGGCCGGGAGGAGAAGGCGCCGCGCCCGCTTACCGTCTTGTCGTTGGGCTGCTGCTGCTGCAGCTGCTTCATCATGATGCTCCGTTTTTTGTCCTTGCAACGCTTATTTTGAAACCAGACCCGGATCACTCTGGGGCTGAGCCCGGTCATTTCCACCAGCTGTTCCTTCATGAGGGCGTCGGGCCGGGGATTGGCGGCATAGCAGGTCCTCAAAGTGTGAAGCTGCTTTTCGTTGAGGACGGTCCGGACGCGAGTAGTCTTTTCCGGCTGCTTATGGACGTGAGGCCGGAGAGCCGGCTGCCTGGCGGAGATAGGTTCTGCTGTAAGGGAAGGAGGGAAGGAAGGAGGGAGGAAAGGAGAGGCGCCTGGTCAGTGGCTGGGAAAGACCAGAAGACAAAGGCACAAGGAGTAACCCTGGAGTTTTGGGGACACTTTCTGCCCAGTCCAGCGGAAAGACTGGATCCTGCCCTGCGGGGGTAGTCTAAGCGCCTGTCTTCAGTAATCAGCTGGAAAACTCCCCCCCCCCCCCAGGCTTCGCTCCTCCTTTAAAGACTCGTTCACCTTCAGCTCCTAAACCAGACTTTCCCAACCTGGGCCACTTTAAGACGTGCGGACTTCAACTCCCAGAATGGCTGGCTGGGGAATTCTGGGAGTTGAAGTCCGCACGTCTTAAAGTGGCCAGGGTTGGGAAACCCTGTCCTAAACTATACTGTCCTGCCAGTGTTTCTCAACCTTGACAATTTTAAGGCATGTGGACTTCAACTCCCAGAATTCCACAGCCAGCAATGCTGGCTGTGGAATTCTGGGAGTTGAAATCCACATGCCTTAAAATTGTCAAGGTTGAGAAACACTGTGACCTAAACTATACTAACTAAACTAATTACAGCTTAGTTTGAAGCTTTACCTGCTTAACCAACACCCCTCCACACACACAAACACACATTCTCAGAATGAATCCAGCTGGCCATTCCAAAGCAATTCCCTTTGCCCGGTGCCTTGAGCTGCTCACAAAATAGCCAGGCTGCCTCTCAAGCCTAAAGAGACTGTTCTGCTTGGCCTGGAAGCCTCTAGTACCCTAGAGTGTTGACAAGCAGAGGTATGGTCAAAAAAGTCAAGATGACAGACACACAACTACCATTTTGATTTTTTTTTAACCCAGTTTCTGCCGATACCCCTATTTGCAAGCAGAGTTGTCAACTTCTTGGGAAGGAATATTTCCCAATTACATGCATTTTTCTTAGTGAGCTCATAGTCCATTTAGTGGGCATCCCATCAAAGTAAAATTCTGGCATATTAGCTCAGCCCCAGCCACCACCACCATCACCCCACACCAAATCTTCTGCAGAGGGGGCAGGAAGAAACATGTGGATTTCTGCCAAGTTTTTAGAGAGTTGTGGGAATCTGAAAGGCAATTGCTGGAAGCTTCATTTATTATCTGTGACTGATGGATTTGAAAAACCCCAAGGAAGAGGAAAACTGCTATCACATCTATCTCTTGATGGGGTCCTTAAGCCTTACTCCTAACACTCAAAACATTTGTCCTTCCCAAGTACAATGCAGGCCAAGGCTGAGTTCACACAACCCCCCCCCCTCTGTTTAATTGTGGATTGCTAGATTATGCTTCAATGCATTGTGTGAAGCCAGATAGACTGATTCTGTTGTGGTTCAGTATGTTTTGCAGCCTTCAGTAATTGGGTTAAATCAGTAAACAAGGAATTAGTCTGTGGAATGCAACCAGAGGAATATCAAGACAATGATCCAGCTGCTTTGTTATAAGATTCCATGCTCCTTTCACTGTTATGATGGCTCTTCCACACCCAGTTATGCACCTTGATATTACACAGAAATATCTATTGAAAGTGAGATTTTTTTAAAATGTCAATCTTTGTCCCTTGCTAGAAAGAAAGGTTTAAGAAAAAGCAGTTCTTTATGAAAAGCTATTTCACCAACCCAACCAGTCAAACCAAAAGCCCTGCAGGGGTTAATTAAAATTTTAAAAGATAATATTTTCAAGTGACACCTTTCTTAAGATTGCAGTAGCATATGCCCTTCATGAACATTCTGGTTTCTTATTTCTAACTGAATGCAGATAAATACGTTTTGAAAACAATCCTATTCATTGGAAAGTAAGTTGCATTCCTATGCAACCATTTACTCAGAAATAGCTTCTCTCTGGTCAACTAGTCAGTAAAGCAACCTGCAAGGAAGAAAAGTTCTAGTCTTATATTCTTTTCACTTGGCAGAAAATGGTATAAAATAAAAGGTATAAAATATACCTCTTCCAATCAACTTTTTCTTGAAATATTTTTTGCTTCCAACTTTAAAGAGACTACAAAGAGATTAAAAACAACCATACCTACCAGTAAACAACTTGATGTCAAATAAACTATCATAGGTTTAGATCTGGTCTATGTGAGGGTTCTTCTTTCAAATACCCACCTCTTTTCTCAGATTTGTCTATTCATCAAAGCAGTCTGTCTGGTATAGAAACAAAGAAAGTAGTCCAAATGTGGAGCTTACCTGACTCCGTGGTTTTTACGCACATTTATTGGGAAGGAAATTGTGCTACAATCAGTGGGCTTACTTCCAAGTAGGCCTATAAAGGAGCCTGCCTGAGAATACATTGCATCACACTATTGTCATGTCCTGGCTTAGTCATGGCCACGTGAAAGGAAAACAACAGGCCTTAAAATTTGAACCACCTTCTTTACCTACTATGGTAATTCCCCTCCCCCCCAAAATCTAGGGCCCTCTGGATGTAGATTGCTTTTTTTTTTTTTTTGCCATGCAGCATATCCACCCTCCATTGCCAACAGACTGGGGAAAAGGTTGGTTCAGAGGTTTTATTTACTCTGACGGATGGGGAAAATGCCTTTATAAATAAATAATCTGAAGTAGAGAGAAGGGTGACAGCAAAGGGGCTGGAAAGTTTTTCTCAAAATTTGAGTGGGGGTGGGAATCAGGCACAGGAGGAAGAGAAGTGAAGCAAAATAATGCCAATTCTTAAACTGACTCTAAAACCTTCAGCTAAAATTCCTACCCAAATCATAGAAAGCTTTCGAAAGAGGCAACAGGGTCTTCTGGAAAGCAATTCCAAAGATTAGCTTGTTGACAGTTGTAAATTACTGCTGGAAGAGTTTTCCCTGTATTAGGAGTTTCCCTGTTTGTAGCAGCCTTTCCCATCCCAATGCTTCATTCAAAAGAAACATCCTTGGAAGAGATCAGTGGGTGGTTGACATATTGGCAGCATCCCACTGGGAGCACATTCCCTCTCTATTCACTCAGTCTCTCCCTATCCTCCCATTGGGGGATGCTGAGATAGATTTGCTCAAAAAATATATAATTCTTTTTAGGCAGCCATTCTAGGAAGCCCTATTGACCTCACTGAAATTAATGTTTGAATAGACATCTAAGGAAATTGTACAGTACTCCAATAGAGACCAATATAATTTTCTTTAATAAGACCAATAGTGGACTCTGTGATCCCCCTACTTTTATCTGCAATTAGTATTTGATTAACCTACACCATATACCTGGCAGCACAAGATACACACAGAGAGAAAGCACACACAGAGTATTTCTGTTTATCCATTTAAAATATGCTTAGTAGCTTAATAATCAGTTGATAAGCTACCAAAGATAACACCTTATTTACCTTTGGACTATAGAGGACTTTTGATCCATATCAGCCAACTAAAGTTTTGTATTGACTTCAACAGGAGATGGATTGAATCTTCTGTCTCTGACAAGCAAACTATACCAATTCAAACGCTTCTCCTGAATGCCTTCAGGTTCACAGGTTAACTTTATATAAACAATGTTTCATCTCTGGATCCTAAGTACACTTACTGGAGGGATGTGATCCCAGTTGTATTTTCTCATTAGGAAGGTCTACTGAATACAGGGGAGTTAAGGCTGCCATTTAATTCATGTGGAAATAAATCCCATGGATATTTAGTAAAACTTAATTTTGAGTGAACAAGTGTAGAATTACACTGTTACTTTCACAGAAAAGGGTTTGCAAACATACTGAATAAGTTGGATTTATGCATTAACTTCAGCAGGTGCAGATCCTGACTTCAGTGCCGGTATCTGCACCTGTTATCCAAAAATACTAGTGCCACTAATTGTTCTGAAACTTCTTTCTAAACTATGTCAGCACTTAAAATAAACGTTAAAATAAAATTCTTTCAAATCATTGGAACTTTTCTAAGCAAACCTGAACAGGCCTTAGTTGTGCAAAATAATGTGAATGAAAATATAATATAGTTCAAAATGTATTTGCAAATGTTTGGGTTTGTCAGGCAGAGTGCCTAATCTTAGGGTTAAGACAAATTAGATGGCAATTCTACATTTACTCTTCCTGGGAATAAATCCTACTGAACTTAACTTCAAGAGGAAGTGATCTACAAAAGCTCATGCAGCAATAAACATGTTAGTTTTGGAAGATACCACAAGGTTCCTTCCTGTCCTATCTTTTCTCCATAAATACAACTAGAATTGTGTTATTGGTTTCACCAAAATCCTCACACCAAATTCCATGCCAACTAGGCCTTGGGGAGGGCCTCTGGGAAGTTCAGATTAAAAAATAGAATATGGTTATTAGACAATGGTTGCCCAGTCTAATTAATTTAGTGTATTAGACAGGAGTAGGGTGAACTTGGTAAGCTTGTGGTTCAGTATTTCATGGAAAGCAGACTTTTAACTTAAGGACAATCTGTTTGATTGAGGCTTGTTATGTGAATATAGCAATGATATTTGTTTAACTGTGGTTTTGGATTTTGCCACTAATTTTCATTGGCTTCCAAGAGATTTGATACAGAGGGAAGAAACTGATTTGGAAAGAACCTTTTTACTCTATATAGGGAGATTTAATGTGGAGAAAACTATTTGGTGTAATGGTTAAGCTGCTGGGCTAGAAGCCAGGAGACTGTAAGTTCTAGTCCCACCTTAGGCACAAAGCCAGGTGGGTGATCTTGGACCAACTACTCTCTCTCAACCCTAAGAGGAAGACCAGGGTAACATTCCAAAAATCTTGCTGAGAAAACTGCAGAGACTACACCAGAAGTCGACACTTACTTTTTGCTTAATTTTGAATTCCACCCAAAGTCTCTGTGATGAGATGGGCAGCCATATATATAACTGATTGAAATTTGAAGGCACCAAAAAAATAAAAATTAAAAAAAACCAAGAACTCTGTTGTCCGTCTCATTGACTTGAAAGGAAGAGAGTCCAACAGTCATGCAGAGCTTATTTCTCTCTACCATTCTTCAAATGCATCTTTCTTAGGCACATATCTAGCCCAAACCAAGCAAACTTTCATGCCCTTTAGTGTATGTCTTTTCATGTCTGTTAACATACCTCTGCTATAATTATAACTACTTAGAAATAGCTTCATCTTATTTGTTCTGAAGTTAAAGCTCAGTGGGCAATGGAGCTGGCTCTTCAGGACCGGACCTGTAGCTTGTCCCATCTTGGGGGGGGGGAAGCCTCATTTTTGTTTGTTTCCACTTCTAATTCCATACTTCTAATTTCACATTTGATAAATCAAGAATAATGGATAATGGAAGCTCATGACCCAATGAAATGCGTTAGTTTTTAAGGGGTCCCAAGGCTGCTTGTACTGTGAAGAAAGCTGCTGCTTTGCAGCCCCAACCACAGGATTCCACCCTTCCTTGGGGTCCATCCTTTGGAGCTCCTGCAGAAAACTCCTTTTTCTGTAAGAAGCTAAATACAGAACCGGGCAGTTAAGGGTTAGACTGGACCGGGCAAGACAGTAGGTACAACGGAGCACAACACCAACCCAGCTTCTCCCAGAAAGGCCTAAGAGTACCTGCCATCTGGAGCGGCCTGGCGGGGTGCAAGGGGCTGAGGGGGTCCCCGGCGCCGAGACTGGCTCTTTCCACCACGTCGTGGTCCGCTCGGCAAAAGAGGCCGTCCTCTCGCAGCGCGAACTCGTCCCCTGGAATAAGCTGGCGGCTGCAGGCCACGCAGCGAAAGCACTCAATATGGTAGACTTTGGAGCGGGCGCGCATCACGAAGTCGTTCTTGCTGAAACCAATGTTGCACTTGGCGCATTTGATGCCGTATAACCTGAGTCCGGACCCCGGCGGGGAGAGAGGTGAGAAAAAGAGGAGGGGAAGGGAACGAGGAGGAGGAGGAGGAGGAGGAGAAATAGAGAGGGGAAACAAAATTCATTTCAGACCCCTGTTCGAATCAAGTCCTTTTTCGACCCGACCCGATCCGCCAGACCCCGCGTTTTTAGGCGCCAGCCCAAAGCAACCTTTTTCTATCGAACCAATCCAGTTGGCTCTCTCACCCGTTTAAATGGAGGGAGGCAGGTGAGGACCCCAGTCCAAATTTGGAGCTGCCGTTTTCGATGCTTGAAGAAAGAATCGAGGCCGCCGATGCACTTCCTGCCCGGCGGGAAGGGAAAAAACTTTGGGGGAGGGGTGCATTTTTATTTTATTTTATTTTATTTAAAAATAGATTCTGGTTTTAATTTATTTTTGTGAGTGTCTCTTTCGCCAACAGTGGAGAATTGCCCTACAGATTCCCAGGTAGAATTTAGATTTTTTTTTTCCCCCGCGAAAGGCGCTAAAGGAACCTTCTGAAGTGTAGCTGCGCTTCTGACTCGAATGAGCAGAGAATGGCAAGGAAGGGAATCGCCTACGGTTAATTCTGGACCGATTAGAACGAGGGAGGTTAAAGTGTAAAGTCCTATTTTTTTATTATTTATTTTTTTTAAACCACCTCATCCTTTAAACACACACAAACACGCTGGTTCAGGCCGGGGCCACTTCAAAGCAAAGCTCCGCTGAGCTCCTAATTTACCCTCTCTTTATAAGGATGCACAGAAACCATATATATGCCTTTGCATGCTCCAAAATCTCACGGGCTCTAAAATCCCAACGGAGAAACATTCCTCTTAGAGAATGGGCCAGAAATGGGATTTTGGAGGCAGCCATTTGCGGTAGTTGGGGTTCTGTTTTGGAAAGTAAGCCTCAAAGGGCTAAACACGGGTCTGAAGGTGGCTTGTTAGTAAGAAGCGCTATGGCTTAACTTTTCAAGCGTGTTTGGTTTGTTGCTCGCGAAAATCGCGAAATTCGTTTATTAATTTGTAGATGGTGGCCGGTTGGGGCACGTAAGTCTCTCTGGCTTTTGGATTAGCAAAAGCGAGTGGCGAGGCCTACCTTTCCGTCAAGGCTGAGGTTTGCTTAATACGAATTGGAGGACGCCCACCTAATTCGCTTCTTTCTAGGAGAGAGTTGCGGCCGCTAGCAAATCCGCGATTTTTTTATTTTTACACTCCCGAATATCTGTAAGGGCAACGAATCGTTTTGATTTAGCTCAGCCTTCTTCTCTACCTCGGAATGTAAGCTATCCTTTCGAAAGAAAGAGAAAAGCGTGCGCCGAATCTTTCGAGCTTTCTTCCAAAATAGATCCGAAGCGCTTCAAGAGCAGGGACGTGTCCGAAACTTCTGGAGCACCGCTCAACCGAGCGATGTGGCTAGGGTAGCATGAAAAAGCGGATGGGCAGCCTTCTCTGCTCGTTCTATCACCCTCTCGCTTCGCTCCCTTGCTCGCCAGTCAGTACAATTTCTCTGTAGGGACGCGGTTAGACTCTATATATCAGTCGTTCCTTATCTTATCACTGCGCAATCTCTTGTCTCTTCTTAAAAATAAACCCGAGGGAGAAAAAGAATGGATAATAATAATAATTACAAAGGCCCAAACTACCGGCTGTTTTTTTCTTAGTGAAGGAAGAAGGGGTAGAACTCTCTTTGGGCCCTGGGCCAGGAATGAACTACTGGAAAGACCAAAGATGGGAAAAAGCCCCCGTTGGAAAACGTTTCTTGGGAGCCGGCAAGACCGTCCAGGTCCACGAATCAGCCTTTCAAGCAAATGTGCTTCTATCTAACCTCTTGAACTTGACTTACACTTGAGTAACAAGCACTTCCGAAATAACGTTTGGCGTCAGCTGGAAAGACACGGGATTTGCTTCCAAATCGAGATATACAAAAGAGAGAGGCCGAATTAAATGCAGCAGTGTTAAGCAGAGGGGCTAGGACAGTCCTACCGCAGGCGCCAGTGGCATTTACTCCCGAGTCAACCTGCTACAATGTTGGCGAGGGGGACAGACACATGAATAGCTGGGAGATACCGTGCCTGTTACGTAAAATATTTGTTCCCGTTGCCCAGCCTCGTTTTTTTTTTTTTTTTTTTTAAAAATTCCCCCGGTTCAGAAAGCCCTGGATTCTGAAAATGTATTAAGCAGACGCCGCCTTCCAAAAGGAGGCGGCCCGTAGCTCTGGGCTTAGCCGCCTTCCAGGAACCGGGGCAGGCAGAGAACCTGGGAAATCTGGAGCTCGTTCTCTAGCGGCCTTTCCGAGGGGGAATATTGGGGGAATTCTCGCCGGCGACCTCAAGTCTTCGCATTTCAGAATTGCGATCCAAGTCGTAAACCGGGTTTTTTGGGGGGGGAGGGGGAGGGGGAAGGGGGGGGAGAAAAGGGGAATCCCAAAGGAACCCGAGAGAAGGTTCCGATCCAGTGGAAAGTTGCTCCCGAAAAAAAAATACGCCCACGTCAAGACCGAGCGTCGTTTAAAGCACCACCACCACCACCACCTCCTGCTCCTGCCATTCCTGGTTAGGGAACCTTAAGCAGCGCCCACTCCGTCTGGATTGTGTCCTCGGCGCAAGCCCGCCTCAAGTCGCCAACCTTTGCCCCCTCCGCGAAGATCAAACCCGGTAAGGGTACACAGTAGCTTCGCGTCTCCTCGTACCCCCCCTCCCGGCCCCCTCGATCGTCGAAAAAAAATCGATGAAATGGGAAATAAAGGCTTCTTTCCTTTCTCCAATATTTGTCGGTTTACCTGTCAAGTCAGCGGTGGCCAGAAAAGCAGGATTTATATATATATATATATATATATATATATATATATATATATATATATTGATAGTATACTGATATATATGATATATCATATCTATAATATATATATATATATACTATATGAGTATCTCTATATATATGACTATATTATATATATTCTTTATAATAGAATCAGCTTCCTAGAGAAATTTTCAGAGTAGGAAGGAAGCTGCTTCCATTATCTAAATGTAGCGATTGTTCGCTAACAGCTGAGGGGCAATTTGATCTCCTCTGTCCAATTCATCAAGGCAGATAAGATAAGAAAGGAGAGGCGGTCCTAGAGCTCCCAAAGGGTTAATATTTAAAAAGATGAAGGCCTGTAATCCTACCCACACGCCTTACCTGAGAGTAAAGGGTACTGAAAAGATTGGCTCCTGAGTAGACCTACCCAAGGGGGTCCTGCAAACAAAGTCTTTGTGTGGGTTTTGCTCTCCTCCTCTCCCTCCTCCTTCGAAGCAATTTGCTTTTTCGACCACAGAGCGGGACTTTATTTAAATACCATTGCTAGTATTAATGATCGTTGCTACTATTTTATAGCTGTCCTCTACCTTTCCCTTAACCCACGAGTTAGGACTGGTTTGTATGAGGAAGGAAGCCTTACAAATCGCAACCGCATCCTTGGTTTATTTTCTAAAAGATGAAGAGGCCTGCTAGAATGGGCATTAAGGGGAGTGGTGGTTATTTTCTTTTCCTAACGCACTTCCTTGAAAAATAGAAAATCTCTTTCTTCCCCCCCCCCCCCATACCGCGCAGGAGAAACCTCCCACCCCCACTACCTCCCACCTCATTTCAATTATACACTTAATTAGCTAAGAGTTCAGGGGAGGGACGCTTATTTAAAGAAAGAGGGCTGGATCCCTCTGAATGACAGCAAATTGCAGCTGCCCCTCTAAATATTACACAAGCCTCAAACTAGTCCTCACCAGAACAATCGAAAAAGAGGAGCCGGGAGACACCACCCCCCAACCCGGATTCTTAAGCTATTTGATGCTTTGAATCTTCTTTCGAATGAAGCTTCCAGGCCAGAGAACCGGAGCGTCAGTAGCTCTCTTCTGATTGCCCCCGAAAGAGGTTCATATATTTCCTTCCCAGCCAATTTAGTGACCATGGAACATTTTTTAAAAAATAATAATCGCGCTCGACGTAGACAGTTCTAGGACACTTTTGTTCGGCTTCTTCTATCTAGAGGCTTATCTTTAAATTTTTCTTTTGAGGGTGTGAAGTGGGATTAATACATTTATTTCCCACCTGCATACGTTTGACGCCAAGAAGTTAATAATCCTGACTATGGCAAAGCAGCTGGCCTAGAGTCCTTCCTCAATTACCCAGGAAGTAAATGCACACAACAGACAAGAATTCAGAAAGAGGCGGCCTTCAACTGATCTGACTGACCGGCCTGTTTGTGGAGAGCTTATTTTTAAAAGGAAGGGGAAAATATTTTTATGCAACTTGCCTCCACCTCATACAGATAACAAAATAAACCTGAAATATTAAAAAGGGGGAAACCCATCCCTCTGTAATTATCTCTTGTCTGTATCTGTTTATTTTCCTCGGCCCTCGCTGTTTACTGTTTCTCCCCCTTCCTAACCACGGGATATGCTTATGTCTTAAACTTCGTGCGTGTGTGTGTGTGTGTGTGTGTGTGTGCGTGTGCGTGTGTGTGTGTTTTGTGTATGCGTGTGTGTTTCGGGAGCCTGTGTGTACCTTTTTCAATACAGGCTTCTGAAGGGCTAAAATGGAGCTCGAGAAAGATTCTGACCTAAGAATCAGGTTCGCCTGTAAGAACCAGAAGAATCTCGGCTGTTCGGTTGGAAGAGAACCAACACTGACGTCCTCCCTTCTTTTCCCCCGGATCTACTAGTCGCCATAACTCCCTGCCCGGTGCGGAGGGGGAGGGGAGACCACGCAAGCAAGAGAGGCTCCATACCTGATGTAGTCTCGCTTACAGTAGGTTTTCCCATCCCTTACAAAGCACGTACAAGTCTCGTCCAAATACTGGTTACATTCCGCGCACTTCAAACACGCCGCGTGCCATTCCAAATCCGGGGAAACCCGCAGAATATACTGGTCGTGGATTTGATTGCCGCAACCGACGCACAAGGAAATCAGCCGTTTTTCTGAAAGGCAAAGGAGGAGAAGAGACATAACTGACGAAGCGTTCGCACTCCTACTGAGATAAACGCGTTTTATTAGTCCCCGCCAACCCCGCCGCCTGAGCTCGGTTCGCTGCTCTTTGGGAAACGCGCTGCTTGCCGCAGCGGTTGAGGTCGCGTTGCATTTTCGGGCAAGGGGGGGGGGGGAGAAGGGAGGAAAAAAAAAAATCCAGAAAGGAGAGAAAGGGGGAGGGAGGGAGCGGGTGCAAGAGAGAGCGCGGCGTTTTAGGACAGCAGTCGGGATGAGGTGGTGTGTGTGGCTCCATCAAAGGCTTCCCAGGCTGAGGGAAAAGGCAGAACGCAAAAGTTAAATTTACAGAGAGGGGGAGGGTCGGAGAAGTGTGCTCATTTTCCACGCTTTTCAACCAATCCAAAAAACGCTCGGGGGTAATTTTGAGACGTGGGGTGGTGTGGGGGGCGAGGAGTGGGTCAGAAAAATTAAGCACGGGCAACATGCTTTACATATCCAGGGAGCAGAATGCGCCAACCAAACCCAGCCTGAGGGCTTTGATTTGTGGTTTTTCGCTCCCCCCCCCAATTTCTCCCCCTTTTGCCAGAATTTGGATTCAGCCGGCGCAGGAAGCGAACTGTCTGCCCCAGTTGGGGCGGACCGCAGCCGGGATTTCGTTCCGAATCAAATGTGGCTAGGGAGAGAAATCTATTGTTGGAGAGCAAATTGGATCCTTCGGGTTTAGGGTGGCACTCCTGGACATCCGAAAGGTTGGTAGCAGCGCCGCAACTTGCTCAAAGTCATTGCCGAGACTCGGACGGGCCTCTGAGCGGGACCCTTTCGCTCCCCTTCCCCCCTCCCCCAGGCAGGACACCAGATTCCCCTCGTATTGGAGGGAAAAGATGGTTCCCGCAGATCTTCAGCAGAACAGATTTTCAGTACGTAAAAATGAGACATCTCCCCCCGCTGCCCCACTCCGGTTTCCACGCTCCCTCGTTTATATCTCCGACTTTTTAAGCGGCGGCTTTCCCCTTGAAGGAGAAGCGAGCCCGCTGGGGAGCCCTCCAGCATCTAACGCTCCAAGGCGAAACGGATCGCAACACGCGCCGGGGGCCACCCTGTTTTCCTACTTCAAACTATTCGCTGCTCCTACTTCGCCTTCACGCTCGCGAGGACCAGCTAATAACCGACTGAAGCGCTTTAGAACCGTCGCTTTCTTACTTTTCGGTGGGTCGCCCATATCGCCCATCTCTACCCAAGGGTATAGTGTCCACAGTGAAATGGTGCACGGCTGCACAGGAACTTTCCCAAGATGAAAATAATAATAATAAAAAAATAAACCGGCGGCTGCTTTTTGCCCCGGAGAGGGAGGGAAGAAGAAGATGCTGTCAAGGGACGGCAGGGATGCTGCTGGCTCTGCCGCCGCGCTTGGAATCGGCCTCAAGAAGGCGGGGTAGCCGGGCTCCCTTCTTCCTGCGGTGAGGGTGGCTCCGCTCGAAGAAAACCCCCCGCGGGCTGCCGGTCCAGGCAAGCGAGAGAGCGGCGGAGGCGCTGCCCAGTGCGTAGAACTCCGCGCGCCTCGACCACGAGCCTCTTCCTTATCTCTTACTCAAACTTCTCTGCTCCAACTCAGCTCGCTCGTCATTGGCCGACGTAGGCCGCGGGGACGTCAAACCTGCCGTCTTCTGATTGGCCGGAGGGAACACAGAAGCAGCTGTTCTGATTATCATATTTCAGGGGCTGGCGATCTGGCGAGGCGGCTGCTTGGAGAAATCCGCGACAGACGCAGAGAAATATTGGGGGGGGGGGGAGGGAGGGAGGACGGAACCAGAGGCAACTTTTCCGCTCCTCATTTGATTTCTCCCCCCTCCACACTCTTAATCCGTTTTTACTCCCCCCCGGTTTGCATCAACACGCCTCCGCTTTCATTGGCTTAAAGCAAGCAGCTGCCTTTGATCACCACCCCTCTCTCCCTTACAGTCGCGCAGGATTTTTCTTTTTTTCTTTTTTTCTTTCTTTTCTTTTCTTTTCTTTTTATTTTTTTTTTTTTTGAGGAAAAAGAAAGAAACAAGACGGTTTATTCTCTGAACGCTTCCCCTCCCTCAACTCTGCAGGCTGTTTGAGGGGTGGGGGGTGGGGTGGGAGAGGGAAATATGGATCAGGTGACTGATCAAATATTGTGGGAGGGGAAAAGCAGGAGGAGGAGGAGCGGCGGATTAAAAGCCATGCAATCTGATTTATGCCACAAAAAGGGGGCAATAAAGGCTTAGCCGCTTAGATTTTCGCCCGCTATTTTTTTGGACGGGGGAGGGGTTATTTTTTTTGTTGCTTTAATTATTATTTGAGGCGAAGGATAAAAGCGTCAGCGAGACTCCGGTTGACAGGGCATTGACAGCGGCTTGATCCTGGTTGCCCGTAAAGCTTCAGTTTCCCTCATTTCTTTTTGCGGCTTTTCTATTCCCCTAGTAGTGACAAGGACGTCGGGGGGAAAGTGATAACATCGCAGCTACTCGCAGGTGTTTAGCGCTTGAAAGTAGTGCTTTTCCCACCCCACCCAGGCCCCCAGGTAAAAATCCCCCCCCCTGGAATTTCAGTGGAATTTACTCCTGAGTAAGCGGATAGACGAAGGGAAAATTAGCTAGACTGAAACATTTCCTCCAGTGGCTCTACTATTTTGGAAAGAAAATCTTATTACAACTACTGCTATTGTGTGCTGCCCGTAGATTTTTTTTTAGAGAGAAAACTGGCAGATCATTTCCCCAACCAAACCTACTGATACTTCTAGTTCCCAACTACTGCTTTTACTGTCGGTAGGAACCTGGAAGTACTTTGCCACTTCAGTTGTCCATTAGGAAGTGCGATAAAGGCCGTTTCTATCCCCATGATTAATAATGACTTCTAGACAATCTCTGCCTATGTGTGTGGAAACACCGCTGGCGTCCTACGTTGAAACTCGAATCTAATCTTAATCACTGGTTAGACTAATGGCACCTAATCCTAAACACGCGTAGAAAATACACGTGGTAATATGCCGGTTCGTGCTGAATGAAATATAGCGACGAATCCTTTCTGTGATACAGTACAAAGCAAGTCTGCTTTACTGTTCTATCGACACAGTGATGGTTGGATGGCGCTGTAAGACATTATAAATCACTACTTAGGGAAGTGCTACCCCTCACCTTGGGAAGGTGGGCATTGATTTCTCCTGACACGGCATAGAATCATCCTGTTAAGTGAGCAAGAAGTAAGGTTCAATTGATAGTCTCTTGGTAGAAAGATTATTAGCTCATATTCTAACTTTCCACTCCTTCCTGCGCACACAGACACATGCATACACGCAGCATTTGCTCCCAGGTCTCCCCTTCCTCCAACGATTTCAGAATAAGTGGACCTTTTGACTCCTAAAATATTAGGGAAATTTTATTTTTCAATGCTGCCTGACTCTACCTAACAGTTGGACAAAGTCTATATATCAAAAGGGGTTTCTCTGAAGAGATGGGGGGGGGAATCAATCAACAAAGAAGGAAAATATACACTCTGTATACGAAGTTGGGTCTCTTTCTGGAGTGATTCGGCTTCATTGAGGGGAGTCGATGTAACCCATCTCTTATCCAGCCTCAGTAAATAAAATCGCCCCATTTCCCAGCCACTCCCAAAGCTTTCCACGAGTGTAAATGTAAAAATGCGTTCAAGACGCCCAACCTTCGTTATTACCTGGTGCACATGAATTTTAAGCGCGTTCTATCTAAACGAAAGAGATCATCAACAGCATCACTTGAAAGTTGCTGTGGTTGTTGCTACTGAGATTTGTAAGAAGTGGACCTAACCCGCTTTTCAACTTCAGCTAAAAAAAAAACAAAGGGGAGGAAGAATTTAGCGTCCAGCCGAGCTTACTCAGTTGGCCGTCTTGAAAATGATCCTCCGAGAAGGTCAGAAGGCAAACGTGGACTATAAACAAACATGGCTGGTATATTTCAAGATTCGGCACATACACAGTGGCAGATGGGGGCCAGATAGTCGTGGTGAATGTCATCGCATCCAGGAAAGAGGCGGACAGAAGCCCAGTTTCTTTCTTTCACTCTTGCCCCCCTCCCCACACGCCTTCCCCTCACCGCGACATTGCTAGGTTTAGTCTGTAAAGCAACAGCAGCAAGATGAGTAACACTACGGATTTAGGCGCGGGGGACCCAAATCCACCGCCAAAGAAGGAGGGGCCTTTCATTCCAGATAATTTAACCAAAATAAATGCCGTCTAACCCATCGGCAAGCTTCAGCTCGACATGCAGAAACGACTCCCCGGATTTCTTCTCGCCTGACTAGGAAGCTGAACACCAGCGGGGATCCCGTAGGCAAGGGTGGGAAACGGGGCGAACTTCTAGGTCCCTGGAAGCTCCGCAGATGAAAACCGAGGGGGCGTCTTGGTCGTCTTGCTCTCCGCCCTCCCCTTTAAAGGCACAATGCGGGCAAATGCCAACCGTTCGGGTTTTCGGAGGTGAAAGGAAGTGCCTTTGCTTTAATTCACCTTCCCTAACCTGGTTTAGAGTCGGGTTGAATGACTAGTCCCGTATTCTCCGAGTCACATTTGAGCGTTTACGCCCCGATCGACTAACTACGATTCTCCTTTAAGAAGCCGCTGCCTAGTTCTAGTAAAGCGTTCCGTTTTTCGTTCCTTGGCCCCGATCGGGGTAACAGTGCAAAGGTGAAAGGACTGTTAGTAGATCTTTAACCTCTATGCAGAACGTTTCTGCATTCACGCGCCTCTGAGACCGCAAATTTTTGCAAGACACTCTTTGGATTGTCTCTTTAGTATTCACGAGCCGGTTTTTCTCCCCCTCCTATTATAGACTTCCTACCCTGGATATACAGCATTTGGAGCACATACGAGGCTCATGTTTATTCCGTGTATATACTGGTGCCTTGAATTCTTCCACCACCTCGAGCATCACCACTATCTCCACGCCGAGAGGGGAGGTTTTATGCTGTTTAGAGTTTGGCCTTCACACGATCGCAACAGCGACCCCTTGTGTCCGAAAGGAGAACGGTCCTCTTGCTCAGTGAGCATAAACCAGAGACAATCGGATAGCCTTTCCCTATTTTCACAAGCATTAAACACTCTGGGATAAGGAACCGCTTCCCTCCAGGGTAGCCAGAGTGAAAGGTCTTTATGGGGAGCAAAGAAAAAGGGAAGGGCTCCAAGCGTTTACAGGACGACGCTCGATATTAATATAACAATCGACGGGCGCGAATATATATTTTAAACACATATGCGAATTTTTTTGCCATTTTTTTTTTATTCTCTTCTGCCTTGCCCGAAACGAGTGCGTTCTTGTTGGCTGGAGCGAGCTCGTTGGGTATGATTTTTTTTTTAAGCTTCTCCCGATTGCCAGAAAATTGCCGTTTCACTTTCTCCACCTTAGGGCTGTTATTTCTGTGCTTTGAAAGACTTTTTTCCGGGAAAGGAAGCAAGCCTTGGTAGATGAACATTAAGCAAGGATGAGTAAGAGCGGAGAGAAGAGAATGGAGGGCTCGGGTCTCGGCAGGACGGTTGTTTCTTCATCCCCGCCTGACTGCTTGGCTACTGCTTTTTTTCCTTTGGATGAAAGGACCGCGGAAAAGAATGCTAGTGCAATGCCCGCAGCTTGCTGGGTTTTTTTAGGGATTAAAGTAAAATAAAATAAAACAAAAAAGTTTCAGAGCAAATGCAAATATATCTTGCTCGTGGTGGAAAATGCCGGAACCCAGACAGATAAGTAAATAGAAATGCTGGGAATTAGGTTAAACGTTTCTTTCCTTTTCCTTTCCTGTCTCGGCGGTTGGGAGAAAAAGATTTGCGCCAGAATGGAAGGAAGCCTCTGAAAGCCATTCTCCCAGAAATAGGCTCTCTAAAATCACTTTGCCTCTTCCGGACTAAAAAGATGACTTCAGCTTGCTACACAGATGCTGAGAATCAAAACCAACCAACCCTTCGGATTTTGTTGTTTTTGTTGATGTTTTCGGTGGTCGTGTACTTTACTTGCTAGTGGTGGGTGGGTTATGAATGCGGGCTACTCGATGCGGTTCTCTGCTGTGGAGGTGGGGATAGCTGAGGGTTAACTCTTCCTGTTCCGCACAAAGCGTCGTCTTCCTTTTTTCCTGACAGGAGAATTTTCTTATAACGGTTTGGCTTAGGAGGGAAAGGACCGCGTTGGGTGAAAAATCGCATCCTCTCCGCATCTCGAATCGAAGGAGAAGAGCCGCCAAGTCGGAGAGATCAGAAGGGCACCCGAAAAGTTTAGGGACGGGAGAAAGCAGGTCGTTGGCTTCGATTGAAATGCCCGTGGTGGACAGAGAAGCTGCTCTAAAGGAGAATTGCCTTTAAATCGAAGTTGATGTTGTCAGCCGGTTCTTTCAACTTTCTTTCAAGCAAACTTTTTTTTTAAATAATTCAATTAAAAAAAAAACATGGCAGTAAAGTTTATTGCTAATCCTGGCATCACTGTTATCTGTATCATCATCATAGCCAATAGTTTTGTTGTTGGATGTCACAGGATGCAACTTTTAAGAGAACAAAGTGGACACTTTCTTTGTGTTCGGTTCCAAGTCGAATCTCAAAATAAACAACAACTCAGTTTCTGACCTCCCCCCTTCTGTAAAGTCATGTCCGATTCTTGCAGACCTCCTGGACAAATTCCTGCAGTTTTCTTGGCAAAGTTTTTCAGAAATTGTTTGCTATTGCCTCCTTTCTAGGGCAGAGAGAAAGTGACTGGCCATCCAGCTGGCTTTGTGCCTAAGATGGGACTCAGTCTACTGGTTTCTGCATGATGTCTTAACCACAGCACCAAACTGGCTCTCAAGCTAGTCATTTCCTAATTCCAATTTTGTGGATTCACTTTAGAGATTTACAGTAAAGGATTTAGCTTAAGATTTGGACCAGGTAAGCTAGCATATGAACTTCTACACTTAGAGATGACTCTCACTAGACCAGTGGTTCTCAACCTTTTTAATGCTGCGATCCCCCAACCGGTCGTAAGTCGAGGACTACTCAACTGGTCGTAAGTCGAGGACTACTCAACTGGTGAAGCACCGTTTGCAGAATGGGACTTTTGGCAGGCTCAGCAGGGCAGAGACAGCCTGGACAATTCCTATTGGCTTTTGAAAGTCAATAGAATTAGACTCTATTCAAGAGAGTCTATTTTATTGGCTTTCAAAAGCCAATAGAATAAAAGGGAGTAGCACAGCTAAGGAAAAGGGGAAAAAATGGCGGACTGTGTTGTTTGGCGACCCCCTTGAAATGGTCGTTCGACCCCAAATGGGGTCCCGACCCACAGGTTGAGAACCACTGCACTAGACTTACTGCAAAGTAAACAGGGCGGGAGGGAGTGTAACCTTCAGAACTAGGGAGCAGAGGCTTTGGAGTTTTCTGCCAAGACAGTTCCAGCTACCCACTTCAATGTCTTTCCAGATTCACCATCAGCAGCAGCTGGTTCTGGTTAAGAAATAGTAGAACTATTGTAGAACTGAGTAGTGATGATAAATAAAATCAAAACAAATAGAAGAGAGGGGAAAAACCTCTTCAATTTTTAAACTAATATATTTTCAATATACAAATCAACCTGGAAATGTAGTTAAACATTTGGGCCAGGACTGAAAAATGTGACCTGTTATCTTTATCTCTGGGGTACCTGAATGGACTAACTGGCGCTAGATATGTGATTGAGATACATTTGTCCACTGAGAGACCGCCACTATTCTCATGATAGTTCTATATTGTTTTATTTGGGACAGATTTACTCTTGAATGAATATATGTAGCTGTTACATCTGCTGCTGCTTGCTTCAAAATGTTAGGACATACACCAGCACAAACCCAACTATTGCATAGTCTTATCTCAAACTCAAGAGTTGGTAGATGCCTCCAGCAAATTAGAGCTTGAGACAATCTATTCTTTTCCTTAGTGTGAATGTAGAAATTTGGTCCTAGTTTGAATCTGGAGCTCTCTACATGTGATGTATGGGTCATCCTACTGAGCTAGCTTTCCTGTAACATCTTCTACTCCACAATTAAGTAGAAGGAGAGAAGTAGCAGAAAAAAGCCCTTTACTAACATCTTTTCCAACCTATTAGCTCTGGGATTTAGGTGGGATCCCTGACACAAATGGGATCTTTCCATCTGGTTAGATCAAGAAGATAGAACTTCCTGTGCCTTTTCCATCAGTTTCAGAAGTCCTGACTGGTTGAGTCTTCCCTGTGATGGCCCTTTCTGTTGGAGCAACTTCTCCAATAGATAAAAGGCTGCTCTCTCTTTATTAGTATCCTAGAAGTCAGTTAAGACCTAGGATATTAGAGAAAATTTGAGGAATGGTAGTGGTGAGGATGTTTGCCCAAGAGTGTGACCATAGCAGTGGAAGGTTGTTTAGTTTCCAATGTACATGATCTTCTTGCTTTTGACTTGCACATTGCATTGTAGAAAGTGTGAGCTGCTTAGAATTGGTTTAAGTGAAATAGCATATAAAACCAATAAATAAACATCAAAGCCACTAATGAAGAACAAGCTCCCATCTTTGTCACTGATAAGGACATTCCATAAACTTTTCTATTCAAGAAGCCAGTGTTTCAATTTCTTTCTCCTCTCCCTTTCCCTCCTACCCTGCTTTCAGGGAGGATCCTAAGCCTTGCTCGAGGCTTGCATTCCTTCACTTCTTTCATAGTATAAGGCTCAGTTCATTCTATCTCTGCCACTTGAAAGTATCCTCCTAATCTGCTTTTTTTCCCCTCTACTTTTCAAAGCACATCAGAAAAGCTAGGCAATTCTCAATTCACTTGGGTTTAATGCCATAGCAGTGTCTATAGTTAAGTGGGTGGTCGGATTTTAAGTTTGCAAGATATATATATATATATATATATATATATGTCAGGTTTACATATATAATACTATTTTACAACATGGATAGTAAAATTCTTATTGTTCTTATAGAAAACATAACCGCTGATTGGAATTCTCTGGTTTTGTGGATATCTAAATAAATATAGTTCTTAACAAACTCTTTAAAAACACTGTCAATTAGCAGTATAAAATGATATCGTTTTCTGGATCTCACCATATTGTGCTACAAATTCACTTTTTTATTTCTCTCATACATTCTCAAGTATTTTTGTAATGATAAAATATGTCCCTGATAAATTGGATGTCATATTTTAAAATTCACCTAAGTAGAATGATATGGCAAGAATTATTTTAAAGTTATACTGCCTCTTTCCGAGGAACAGTAGAGGGATATATGTTAGGTGTGTCAATTAACTCAAATGTAAATATGACATGTTTTGTTTTTTCTTTGCTGGAAGGCTTGTAGCTAAATCTTTAAGTCCAATGAAAAAGGTGGTGTCTGTGATGATATAAATTGATGTGAACTTTCTATCCGGCACCGACAGCCCCGTCCAGCAGGTCCACTTCTTCTGGAAGGAGAAGCTTCATTGTGCAGCTGCATTCCGGCCTGCATTTTGCAGTCAGGCCTTTCTGGAAGGCCTATGCAGCTGAGTACCGAGCTATGGATTCAATCCATAGCTCAGTCCTTGGCTGCAGAGGTCTTGCAGAACCGAGCTATGGATTGAATCCATAGCTTGGTTCTTGGCTGCAGTGGTCTTCCGGAAAGGCCTGTGACTGAGAAATGCAGGCATGGCTACAAAATATTACTCAGAAGAAGAGCTGGGCTGGTGAAGAGAGGCCTGGCTGCAAGGTAAGTGGTTGCGGGCCACGTGGGGCAGCTCCACACCCCCACCCGTGCCTAGCTTGATTTTTAAGTGTGTGACTCACCCCCAAACTAGATCTTATTTTTGGGGTAGGGCTTATATTAGGCCCACCCCCAAACTCAAGCTAGGGCTTATTTTCGAGGTAGGCCTTACTTTCAGGGAAACACCGTAGTTTCTGGGCAAGATATGTTTAACTTGTACATATTTTAATCTTCTATTTTATAGAATAGTATGCCTTATTTTAATTGTGAGGCTTCTGACACGAATAAACAAAATCCTATTTTGAAAATATATGCTTACTTCATTGTATCTGGAATTCAATATGTGTACCAGTTGTGCACCTTATACAAACTACAAAACAGAATAGTTTAGACAGAGCAATTTCTCTAGTAACTACTTGGAGCCTATTGAAGTCAAAATGTTGATTTAAAACAGGGGTCTTCAAACTTGGCCCTTTTATGACTTGTGGACTTCAACTCCCAGAATTTCTCAGCCAGGCATGCTTTTCCCAGAAAAAGTCCCATTATCTTCAATTGTAAAACAACATCCTTCTTGGTCAGTCCAAAGTTTGATGACTAACTTTAGTATTTTGTGTCATACAGTGAGTAAGGAGTTGCAAATTAACAAATGACTTCCTACATTGTTGGTTTGGCAGTCAGAAAATATTATCTAGCTATGCATATATATATATAGAAGTAGCTACTCTGATTTGTCATAAATAAGTCCAATTCCCTTTGTAACCATCAAATTGGAATTCAGAAATCTAGTTTTGTATAGTGGTTAAGGTACCAGGCTAGAGACTGGAAGACTGTGTATTCTAGTTCTGGCTTAGGCACAAAACCAGCTGAGTGACCTTGGGCCAGTCTCAGCCCTGGGGAAAAGGCAAGGATAAAACACTTCCAAAACTTTTGCCAAAAATATTGCAGGGACTTATCCAGGAGTCATTCATGGCTACTTTATTGCAGTAAATCCCATTGTTTAAAAAGTATTCTGAGAAGAAATACTTTCTTTTTCTGGTTCTGATGAACTGTTGTAAGTTGAGGACAAACTATAATAGATCTATAAGTACAAAATATAGTGGAAAGAAAGTTGATTGTGTAGGATCAGACAAAGGTTCTGCTTCTTAACCTTCCAGGTGTTTAAAAAAATAAACAAAAATATGTCCATACTGCTGAATCCCTCAATTTATTTCCTAGTTTTTAAGAATACAAAAAGGCTTTGAAGGCTAATTCTTGTGATAATTTTCCATACAAATATTTGATCAGGGATCTATATTGATTCAGCATTCATCAATAAAATGATAGCAGTGGAGAGAGGCAATTTCAGGGCTACATTAAATAACTGGCAGATGTTATCTCAGAACCTTTGTGCCGTATCTTTTTTAAAAAATCCTTGTTACCTCTCCCTGCTTTAAATGGAAGGAAAAAATGTCTTTGCCTACTCAAAAGAAACAATCATTTACAGCAGTATTTCTTAACCTTAGCAACTTTAAGATGTGTGGACTACAACTCCCATAATTCCTCAGCTGGCATGCTGGCTGGAAAGTTCCAGTAGCTGAACACATATTAATGCTGACAAATTGAGAAACACAATCTACAGCAACACATTGCTGTACAAAAGAATGGCATTGGCTTGGCTTTAGCATAATGTGATCTCTAAATTTTAGCTTCTGCCAAAGTAAGACATTTGGTAATTAATAATAACCAGGTTTTGCATAAAATAGTACATTTGCAGTGGAACAATATTTAGCATAATACTCAGCCTGGAGAGCAGAATGGTTAATTCCATTAAGAGTGGAATGGTAGTAATAGCTAAATATCTTTAATAATTGAATAGTACAACAAGCCAGTTCCACCTACCCACTATTGCTACAAAAACACATGTATTAAGTGAAATATGTATGTTTTTTCTAGTCTTCTGCTCCTCTTCAAAAGAGAATCCATTGAAGGAGGACAAAGGAAAGAGTGGGGTGAAATGGGACAGATATTACCTAGGCCAATTATATATGATAGGAACATTTTGATATATCTCCACTGAGAAGAATTATCAAATAACCTCTATTTGTTTTTGAACTCTTCTGATTCCATCTTAAAACACATCTGAGATTGATCTGGGCTGTTTTGCTATTTGCTAACATGGAGATCTTGTGAACATGTTACTTACATGCTTGCAAGTCTATAATTCACAAAACAACCACATTTAAGTTGCACTGGCCATTTTTGGCTAACACATGAAAAATTTAAAAAGCCAGCTAATCATTACTGGCATACTGGCCAGTTGCTGAGTGCCTCATCATCCTTCCTCAATTTCATTCATTCCTTTCCCTTCTTAAAAAGAAAAGAAGAGGGAAAATTGCTGGTGTTTCTGTGGGAAAACTTTTCTCTGTCTCCCAGGTTTCTTATGCAGACATAGTGGCTATTCTTTATTTGGCTCCCAGGCCCTCATATTACCTCAGTGAGATTGCAGGAACTGGAAAATGGGGCTGACCAAAGCAATCCACCCAGTCAGAGCACTGGATTTAAAATACAAGCAGTGAAATGCTGTTGCAATTGTGGTGACAGCTGCTTAAAATAATGTCCTGAGTGATGGTCACAATACCATTGATAAGGAAATACCTTGGCAGTTGGTACAATTACAGGTACCTAGTCCTGACTTCATCCTATCAAGGGCTCTTTCATTTCACTCAGTTATGAGTATTGCATCCCAATCTGGACAAAACTTTGAGATTTGCCCTGAGGAGGGATGTTAGCTAAGATAAAATTATTTAAGGTAGGGGGCAATGTACCACGGTACAGGGCAATCTCTGATCCTGTAATATCAGCATGATGGCTCAGTGGTTAAAGACGTTGAACTTATCAGCTGAAAAGCTGACAGCCCTGCTTCAAGACCCGAGCACTGTGTGACAGGGTGAGCTCCCATTACTTGGCCCAGCTCCTGCCAACCTAGCAATTTGAAAGCATGCAAATGTGAGTAGATAAATAAGTACCACTTTGGTGGGAAGGTAACAGTGTTCCATGAGCCTCAGCATAAGTAGTTGTGCTGACCACATGACCATGGAAAGGGTCTTTGGACTCACTGCAGCCAACTTACCATGGCCAACTCACCACAGGACAACTCTCTGCCAGACAGTTCAAAAAATACAAAAGTTAGATTAATTTCAACAGACCTGTGACCAATAATAATAAAATAAAGTCAGAAATATAAGAGTTACAATAATTTGTTTGAAAACGTGGTCACCAATAATAAAAAGTAACTGAATGAAATGATTAATACAGAATAGAATAGAATAGAATACCTTTATTGTCATTTGTATCTCACAACAAAATTAAGTGCTGTCCACAATGCACACTACATAAGTATACACACATCCTTCACATTCTATTCACCATTGTGCTGCCCCTAATATTGCACTTTAATGTTGCACTATACAGTAGTATTTAATATGGTTACAGCTATGGGATAAAAACTATTTTTCAGCATATTTGTCTTTGTTTTTTTATCCTGTACCATCTGCCAGATGGTAATAGTTCAAAAAAGGAATGTCCAGGATGAGATGAATCTTTACGAATGTTTTGAGCTTTCCTAAGACAGCAGGAACTGTACAGTTTGTCTGGGGGGGGGGGAGGAGGAAAGGGCAGCCAATAATCCTCTGGGTGATAGTAATGACCGTCTGGAGTGCAGTTGGCAAACCACACACAAATCCAATAGGTTAGAATGCTCTCTATGGAGCAACAGTAGAAGGTCACCAGCAGTTTTTCAGTTGTTGTTTCTGAGAAGTCTCAAGAAATATAATCTCTGCTGGGCCTTCTTAACCAATGCTATAACATGAGCACTCCAGGCCAGGTCCTCCTTTATGGTAACACCCAGAAACCTAAAGCTAGCCACCCACTTCACATGGTCTCTGCTAATGATCAGGGCTGAATGTCTGATCTATTCCTCCTATAATCTACTATAAACTCCCTGATTTTAGTGGTGTTGAGAACCAAATTATTGTCTCTGCAACCACTCCACCTCATCCTAGTAGGCAGACTCATCCCCTTTGGAGATAAGCCCCACCACTGTTATATCATCCACAAATTTAATAATAATATTTCTGGGATGAGTGGGGGTGCAATCATAAGTGTAAAGGGTATAAAGCAGGTGGCTCAACCCTGTGGAGAGCCAATATTAAGAATAAGGGCTGAAGAAATATAGTTGCCTAATCTAACTCTCTGAGAGCAGCCAGACAGGAAGTTCATAATCCAAAGGCAGATTGAATGTGAAAGTCTGAGGTTGACACGCAGTGTGTATGGAAGAATTGTGTTAAATGTAGAGCTAAAGTCTACAAAGAGCATCCTTATCTAGGTCCTCTGCTGCTTCAGATGAGCCAGAGCAGTATGGAGAGTGATGGTTAGGGCATCCTCTGTAGATCTTTTTGCTATGTACGCAAACTGGGGACTGTCGAGTGTGTATGGGAGGCAGGACACAATGTCCTGCAGTAAGTTGTCCCACAGTGAGTTGGCTGTTGGTTGTGCTGAGTTGTCCTTCTTCAGATAATTCTGGCTCCTTTGGCTAAAAAACAGAGATGAGCACTTCCCCTAGAGTCGACCTGAGATGGGAAATCTTTATCTTTACCTTTAATATCAGCCAAATCCTGGAAAGACTCCATTTCTGCAAATAAATTGGGATAAACAATGCTTGCTGGGACAAGAGAGAGTAGCTTTTTAAATTTATCTTTGAAACCAATTAAAACTAATTTGGGAAAAACAATATGGGAGAGAGAGGAATTCACACGGGAGTTACGGAAGTGGCATATATTGGACATAAAACAAACAAAAGGCCTAGGAAAAGAAATGGAAAAGGGTCAGCCTTACCAGACAGGTAGACCAGACAGGAAACACAACCAGATAAGCCAATTTTATTTTATTGTACAGCTACATTAACAGAATCTTGCAAGCCTGAAAGTACAAATTTCCTGCCATCTCCTTAAAGTTCGAGAAACTAGGGATGATCCCTCCTAAGCCTCTTACCCAGTCCACTATTCAGCTATGGGCTGTGTTGTCTCTTATCCCAAAGCAATATCTCTTCACCCACTTCCCAAGGTCTTTCCACATACCATTACAGGAAGTAAGGAACCAATAGAAATCTATGTGGATAGTGAGGGTGCTGAAGGAAGGGAGGCTAGCATAAACAGGGTTGTTTATGAATTGAACTGAAGAATGTGAAAGAAAATCACATTCTGGATTACATCCCATACTTGAATTGACTTCAGTAAACAATTTAAGGTCAACATGTTTCCTGGAATGTTGATTCGCATTTGCTTCCTCAGAAGCTGGACATTTGCTGTCCCCATCAGCTGAAGTTTTGGACTATAGTTTTTCTGGATAGCTATCTAATGATACTCCATGCAGTTGTGACTTTGAGGTTGTGAACCAGGAATACATAAGGGCACCTCCACATTTTAGAACAAGGTGGAAGGGATTTTTAAAGATTTTTAAACAGGTATTTAGGGAGATCTGAAATACCATCTGGAGTCTGAGTTCTAGGTAAGATTTGATCCTGTTTCCATGACAAGATCACTGGGGCAAACCAAGGTTCTTCACTATAACTAATTAATGAGCTTGGCTGGTTACTTGAAAATAAATCATATTTAAGTAACCATTAAGAGTGGGAACCTTTGAGCATCCAGATATTTTAGTTAAACTGGACTATAAACTGATTTGAGTATTTGAGAGTTTGATGCAAACTTGCCTGCAATTAAGCATCAGTGAGTAAGTGTATCTCTGAATAAGCATGTTTAGGATTGCTCTAAACAAAGGAACAAGAAAGATTCTAATATGCAAAGCTACTTGATATGCTTATTACTGCCTGTCTCAATGTACAGTGTAATTAATGCTTCAGTTTTGAGATACTGTGTGTAATTGTTAGCAGATTACACCAGTGAAGTTAATCAGTTCTTTAAATGATTAATTATAGGCTTTCACAAAGTCTCTTCTTTTAAAAAAGAAGAAAAAAAGAAAACATTGGTAGAGTTATTATGCTATGAGACAAAAGGATATCCTACAATAACTTTTAAGGTGGTAAAATTTATGGAGATTCATTGTTGGCAAGGCAACTAAATACTGAAGAGAACTCCTCTTATTTTTACTCTTTTCCATATCAACTCTTTATTTCAGAACACTTTTTCACTTTCACATACTCTGCTGAACTGTTACATATCTGCAGATACAGAGAGAAATATAAGAATAAGATTTTAAACAGCACTAATGTTACCTAGTGTTTGTATAGCACAGAAGTGTTCAAACCCTGCATGTAAATTAATTTCCCCTATAACAATTATGCAGAATAGATCAATATTATTTTTAACCATATAGTAAATTATTTTATGTTGGAGTTAGTGACACGATGACTTCTTGAAATTGGGGACTTTATCAAAGGTCACTTAAAATACAAGTTTCAAACCCAGATCTAGATCAGTTGAAATTAGCAATATCTATATCTATCTACTCAGAGATTAATCTCAATGAATTCAATTTGCTTTATTCCTCCATCAATGGCTATGGGATTCATTCATAACATAGTTGGCTTTCATTCTTACTTTTGAGTAAACCTGTACTCTAAGACTCTCAATGTTTACATCAAATGATACAGATTTCAGTTCTGTAGGATTCACTTATTTCTTTTTTTAACCTCTTCTATTGTTTTTAACACTTTATTAAATGTGTCATTCTGCATATCAGATCTATTTTTACTCTGATGGAAACAAATTTGATTATGTGCATGAAACAATTGCCAGCTCCTAGCTACCACATAAATAGACTTTTTCCATGATGATCTATCCCTAACCTGGTCTTTTAAGTCTTCCAATGGTGGATTGTAACTGAATCCATCCATCTTGCTACTGGATGTCCTCTTCTTTTTCCTTCCATCTTTACTAGAATTAGAGTCTTTTCTAGAAAGCTAGGTCTTTGCATAAGGTGTCCAAAATAGGATAATTTGAGTGTGATCATTTGTGCCTCAGATGAGAACTCTGTGCTGATTTGTTTGATGACCCATTTGTTTGCTTTCTTGCTATCCAAGGAATCTCAAGAGTTTTCTTCAATACCATATTCAGATTATCAATATTCTTCCTTTCTTGCTTCATTTCAGTCCAAATTTCAATTCCTTGTTTGTTTCAGGAAATCTTGCATGATTCTGGCCTTTGTAGGCATGGATATCATGGCATTTGGATAGCTTTTTCAAAGTCTCCATGACTACCCTACCAAGGGCTAGTCTGTGACATATTTCTTGACTGCTTGTTCCTTTATATGCTGATGATTGATCATGAATTGCAGAAGCTGTCTACCACCTTAATGATCTTCGTTGCCAATTCTAAGACTGACTATTGTGCTAGTGGTCATTAGTTTAATCTTCTTTTTATATAATTTTAAGGAGCACAATGGCTCAGCAGTTAAAAATGCTGAGCTTGTCAGCAGGAATGTTGGTGACATTTGGTACATAAATTTGTTTTTCTCTAGATTTGCTGGCAATAGTTTGGTTAGAAAATTTGCTGATTCTTATTTTGTTGGTATTTCCTCAGGTCTTCATGCTTCTGATTTGATAATTACTGGAGTGCTGATTTAATTCCATCTTCTACTACTAGAAGTTCTGATGTTGAGATATTTTCCCCATAATTTCAGGATATTCCTTCCAACTTTTTTTTTTTAAAAAATTCTGAGTTCAGAGATTTTTGGATTTTTTTCTTTTGTTTTTTTCTAGATCTGTTTCCCTATTTTGAAAGTTGGAGTTCACATAGCTGAAAGTTGAGAAACATTGCCCTAGGTTGACTAGGAATTCTGGAATTCTCCTAGCAAAGTATATTCAAAACTGACATAATGGTGATGCATGTGAAAACTGTTGAAGAACACAAATAAAACTCTCTTTGTGTGACTGTGCATATACAACAAACTTTTGATGCTTTTAAAAAGCATCAATATCAAAACAAACTTTTTCAGCAAAGCACCCAGCAAAGAAAGCATTATTTGTCATGGCTAACATAGGAAGCCGTTGTAAATTTTAGAAATAAATAGGAGGAACTGGCTTAAGTAAAAATAAGCAAACAAAACACAAATATGCCCTCTTGTTTTAGCATGGCCTCTCCTATTCAAAATTCCTGTCAGCTGTCTATAACCTTCTCAAGACAGTGAAAATTTGTCAGCGTGGAATTGGGTATTTCTAGTTTAACAAAGAGAAGGACGAGGAGGGACATGATAGCAGTGTTCCAATATCTCAGGGGTTGACATAAAAAAGAGGGAGTCAAGCTATTCTCCAAAGCGCCTGAAGGCAGGACAAGAAGCAATGGATGGAAACTGATCAAGGAGAGAAGCAGCTTAGAACTAAGGAGAAACTTCCTGACATTAGAACAATTAACCAGTGGAACAACCTGCCTCCAGAAGTGGTGAATGCTCCAACACTGGAAGTTTTTAAGAAGAGACTGGACAGCCATTTGTCTGAAATGGTATAAGGTTTCCTGCCTGAGCAGGGGGTTGGACTTGATGACCTCCAAGGTCTCTTCCAACATTATTATTATTGATCATCGCACAGTCAGCCAGATGTTCAGACTGGATTTGGCATTTTGTCTACCTATCGAGTCCTTACCCAGGACCTGGGATAGGCAGATGTGGATGTTTGATGGTATTACAGATATCGTCTCAGGATGGAAGCAGTTCCTAGTAAGGCCGCCTTTTGCAATTGACTAATAGCGAATTTGTCAATGCCAATGGTGTTCAAGTGGTGCTCCAGTTGTTTTGGGATTGCACCCAAGGAGCCTATTGACTATTGGTACTACCCTTGCTTGCTTTTGCCACAGTCTTTCTATTTCTATTTGTAGGTCTTTGTATTTTGTTATCTTCTCCAATTCTTTCTCTTCTATTCTGCTGTCTCCAGGCACTGCCACGTCCACTATCCAGACTTTTTTGTCTTTCTTATCGACAATTGTTAAGTCTGGGGTGTTATGTTGCAGGTGCTTGTCTGTTTGAATTCTGAAGTCCCAGAGCAGTTTAATTTTATCATTTTCTATGACTTTCTCTATTTTATGATCCCACCAGTTTTTGCTTACAGGCAAATGATATTTTTTGCAGATCTTCCAATGCACCATTGTTGCTACTTTGTCATGCCGCTGCTTGTAGTCAGTCTGTGCAATCTTCTTGCAACAGCTTACCAAGTGGTCCACTGTTTCTTCAGCTTCTTTGCATAGGCGGCACTTACTGTCTGTTGCTGTCTTCTCAATTTTGACTTTGTATGCATTTGTCCTTAAGGCTTGGTCTTGTGCAGCCAGAATTAGTCCCTCGGTCTCTTTCTTCAATTTTCCTGCTCTTAGCCATTGCCAGGTTTTATTATTATCTGCTTTCCCAGCTATTTTTTTCATGTATTGGCCATGTAGTGCTTTGTCTTCCCATGCCTCTATTCCAGTGGTTCTCAACCTTTCTAATGCCGTGACCCCATAATACAGTTCCCCATGTTGTGGTGACCCCCAAGTGGGTGTGGCCACCAATAAGAGGGAGTAGGACAGCTAGGGAAAGGGGAAAAAAATGGCGGACAGCGTGGTTTGGTGACCCCTGTGAAATGGTCATTTGACCCCAAATGGGGTCCTGACCCATAGGTTGAGAACCACTGCTCTATTCTGTTCTTCGTTTGGTCTTTCTTGTAGGCCAGTTTGGTCTCTCCAGTAGTTAGTAAGCCTTCCTGATATACTAATTTCAGTGCATCTTCATCATTGTTCTTCAGATATTCTTCCAAAGCCATTTTTTCTTCTTCAACCATCTGATGTAGCATTCCACGCCCACTTATTTGCCTTGGTAGATAAAGTCTATCAATGTCACTGCGTGGATTATTATTATTATTATTATTATTATTATTATTATTATTAAATGGGTATTACAATTGTTCTCATTCTAGCCTGCATGAAGAATGAAGACCCTCAAGTTGGGAAAGTGGTCCAATCAATACTTCAAATAAAGAAAGAAATGGAAGGGGTGGAATATAAATCATGTAAGTAACTTGAAAAAGAGACATCCCCTTCAAACAAATAGCTTTCCTCATCTTTCCAAAGCAAGCATTTTTGATTGTTAAAGAAAAAAAAGACATTATTGTATTTGTATATTGCATTATGGAATGATCGATTATATAAGTGCTTTGCAGATCAAAGGGAGAGATGTACTATAAAATGAAGGAGAGGGTGAAGTCGTTGGAGAAGCTAAGACCACCCAAAGAGTCAGCAGCAGTGTTTAGAGTTTAAAAGCTGGAGTTTACTGCTTCTAAGTTACTGCTTGTGCTCACTTGCTAGTATTTAAGGATCTAATCAGCTGAAATTAGCAGATTTTTTTTAAATCTTAAAGTAAGTAGGGAATGTAATTCTTTTCTCACCAAACAACCGAAGGTCTCCCTCGTATGGAAGGAAAGTCAGAAGAATCCTTCTGCCTTGTACATCCTTCCACATAAGAAAAAAGATCTCAAATAAAGGTCTCAACTACCAGACATGTACATAACACAGATAACAGTGGTGATGGAGAAGAACTGCTGATGGAAACCACTGCTGTTTAGACAGCAGGAGAAATGGAAACAATACATCCAGTTCTCAAACTTTATTTGAAATCTACTGCTACAAAACTATAGTCTGCAGAAGCTACAGTCAACCCCTACAGTTCTCAAACAACACAAACTACTGTGGACTCAAAAGCATTAACTAACTTAACAGCAGCCACTAGTTAGTACACCCCCAAATCCCTAGCTGTGGCCATTTGGAACCAGGCCATAGAACTGGTGAGCAAGTGAGCGCATCCCGACTTGCATGAGCAGTGGGAAAAAGATTGCAATCACTCTATTTGCATGGGTGGAAGGTATGTGCATCTGCTGCTCACACAAATGGAGCTGAGCACGCACTTGCCCGCCGCTTGCACAGAACCATCCCCTCCCCCGCCCGGCTGGACCACAAAGCTGGAAAGTTTGGGGAACTCTGATCTAACTATATCTACAGCCATGATACTTAGTTGAGACCAAGTATTTCTTCAGGGTTTAGAGGACTGTTCAGAAGAAAAATTGCCCTGTCAACTCTTGCCTGGAAGTGGATTGGGAGCCAATAAAATTAATGGCAACATGATGCATTTTGCTCAGAGTAAATTCAAGGCTGAAACATCAATTCTGAATTTTATGTGTTCTCCTGCAGCTTTCTGAAGCTAGTTGCTATGTTGCTGGGCAAGCCCTGATAGAAATTCTTTGTTTAGTACTTAATTGTGGACTGATAACCATATGCTAAATAAATAAACGGCTGATATTTGGACATATTGTTCTGGTGCGGAGTATGCATGCATGTATATACCTTCAAGTCACCAATTTTCTACAGGAAACATATATAAAACTAATAGGGAATTCTTCTGAGGATTCTTTTGAGCACTGAATGAATCTATGTACTGCATCAGTTGTTGCATGGTGAGAAAAACAAATTTTATAAATTTGTTAAATTTGTCAAATTTCTATGCTGCCCAAGGGTGGCAAGTTATCCACTCTAGAAATCAGAGGAATAGGGGGAATTCAGCAGCTCCTCGGAGTATTGATACCAGGACAAAATAGCTATTTTTGCCTTTACATTAGCAAGGGAAAAGCTAGTTTATATCTAGTTAGTTTATATGTGCAAGTGAAGGACTGGGGATTAATACAAAACTTACCTTTTATAACAGTGTTCAAACTCCTGAGCCAGGATTTGTCTAACAAGCTAGCCTCTGTTTTCATACTATGAACAATTGATGGAAATTACTAGGTAATTCTCAACTTATAACACGAATGGACCAGAATTTCCATTGCCCAGCAAAGGGTTATTAAGTGAGTCATGCTGATTCTACAATCTTTTTTGCCACCGTTGTTAAGTGAATCAGTGCTGTTGTTAAGTGAATTGTGCTGTTGTTAAACAAATCCAGCTTCTCTCCTTGACTTGCTTGTTGGAAGCCGGCTGGAAAGACTGCAAACAGTGATCATATATTCCTGGGATGCAGCAACCATTGTAAATACATGCCTGTTGCTAGATGCCCAAAATTTGATCACATGACCAAGGGGATGCTGCGAGGACTGGTCATGTTACTTTGTTCAGTGCCATCACAACTTGGCCACTAAATGAGTGATTGTAAGGCAAGGACTATTTGTAAGCTAATATTATGAATAAGTGAAATAATTACAGTTTCACTCTGATTTTCGTATACTATAATTTCTTCTAAAAATGTAGCCAGATTTCATTTCCTTTGCCAAGAAAATAGTGAGAGCTATATTGAAGCCATTACTTAGGAGCTTCACATACAGATAGACCTGCTAATTTATTTTTCTACAAGCAAGGAAATGTCAGTGTTGCTGCTCTGCCGTATTAAGTCTGAATGAATTCAGGTTTTGACAAGTAAACATGTTTTGTTACATCTCTGAAAGTGCAAGGAAGTCATGCAAATGCATCAATGTCTGCTTGAAGAGCTATTTGGAAATAACTAATGTACAGCTTCTTAAATAATTGAGACAGTGCGATATTTCTATGTCTCTAGCAAAAGTGGCCAATCTTAGCAACAAAGCAGAGGGTGGAGATCTCTCTTTCTGACTTTAGTTCAGAAACGAAAATATGCTGATCTGCTCGCTTTGCAGTAAAGCCTGGGCATCACTTGATAGATTATGTACTTCAGTAGTCAGTGAAATAAATAAATGACTGATAAGTAAATAAACTGAGTACTGAGACTGATCCCTTAATGATGTTATCACTAGCCCAATAGTACACAAATGTAGAAAGTGACAATCTGTTCTAAATGCAATTGAGACTCTGGATTTTTCAAAGAAAATTTATTATAATTAGATTTATTTTTATACAATCACCCTTCTGAAGAAGAAATACTGATCACGCCTTGATTTAAACAACTTAGTGATACCACAAGTAGTTAGAGAAAAGATTATTGTGGCCAGAATTTATAACAACAGAACTGGAATGGCGCAGAGGATCAGTTCTAGCTGAAATGGATGATCAAGGATACAGTAATTCTGTTTCCTGCCTGTACTGCTAAGAGTGGAAGATGTCCAGGAACAGAAGAGAAGGATGCCAGTGATTAGTAAAAATACTGCTGTTTAAAATAAAACTTTAAAAATTGGTTTACATCAATTGATAGAAGTAAAGCATATAGCTTTTCTTGCGAAATAATAATGAAATCATTTATACAATTCACAAAAGCATAGTAGTAGTAAACATTCTCCTAAACAAGCATACTAAAGATAATCTCATAATCCTAAATCTAAAATTGTAGGGTTGTGTATTTTTTTTAAAAAAACTGGTGTTTGTTATTAAATTTCAAAATACAGTAGTAGTATTTGAGCAAACCACTAAAAATAGAATACTATATAGTTTTTGAATAGGGCAAGTATTTAAGGTACATTATTTAAAAAGAATAAATACATTCTAATAAACATGTAAAATTTAAATTTTGCATAATCCGGGCTACCTCTGATCTATAATTTCTAACATGGTGGTTGTCCTTTCTAGGTTATTGTGGTCTATTCCTTTCTGAATTGAACATGACTGTATTTATTATGTCATTACTCCAAGTCACATGGTTTCCATGGAAAAATGAATTTTATTGGCCATTGTTGGTAGTCAGAGGATGTTAGTGGTGTAACTGAAAAATAGAAGAGAACTAAGACTAAGGAGAAACTTCCTGACAGTGATAACAATTAACCAGTGGATCAACCTGCCTCCAGAAGCAGTGAATGCTCCAACACTGGAAGTTTTTAAGAAGAGACTGGACAGCCATTTGTCTAAAATGGTATAGGGTCTCCTGCCTGAGCAGGGGGATGGACTAGATGACCTCCAAGATCCCTTCCAACTTTATTATTATTATTATTATTATTATTATTATTATTATTATTATTATTATGGATCATCGCACAGTCAGCCAGATGTTCAGACTGGATTTGGCATTTTGTCTACCTATCGAGTCCTTACCCAGGACCTGGGATAGGCAGATGTGGATGTTTGATTGTATTACAGATATCGTCGCAGGATGGAAGCAGTTCCTAGTAAGGCCGCCTTTTGCAATTGATTAATAGCGAATTTGTCAATGCCAATGGTGTTCAAGTGGTGCTCCAGTTGTTTTGGATTGCACCCAAGGAGCCTATTACTATTGGTACTACCCTTGCTTGCTTTTGCCACAGTCTTTCTATTTCTATTTGTAGGTCTTTGTATTTTGTTATCTTCTCCAGTTCTTTCTCTTCTATTCTGCTGTCTCCAGGCACTGCCACGTCCACTATCCAGACTTTTTTGTCTTTCTTATCGACAATTGTTAAGTCTGGGGTGTTATGTTGCAGGTGCTTGTCTGTTTGAATTCTGAAGTCCCAGAGCAGTTTATTTTATCATTTTCTATGACTTTCTCTATTTTATGATCCCACCAGTTTTTGCTTACAGGCAAATGATATTTTTTGCAGATCTTCCAATGCACCATTGTTGCTACTTTGTCATGCCGCTGCTTGTAATCAGTCTGTGCAATCTTCTTGCAACAGCTTACCAAGTGGTCCACTGTTTCTTCAGCTTCTTTGCATAGGCGGCACTTACTGTCTGTTGCTGTCTTCTCAATTTTGACTTTGTATGCATTTGTCCTTAAGGCTTGGTCTTGTGCAGCCAGAATTAGTCCCTCGGTCTCTTTCTTCAATTTTCCTGCTCTTAGCCATTGCCAGGTTTTATTATTATCTGCTTTCCCAGCTATTTTTTTCATGTATTGGCCATGTAGTGCTTTGTCTTCCCATGCCTCTATTCTGTTCTTCATTTGGTCTTTCTTGTAGGCCAGTTTGGTCTCTCCAGTAGTCAGTAAGCCTTCCTGATATACTAATTTCAGTGCATCTTCATCATTGTTCTTCAGATATTATTGTTATTATTATTATTATTATTATTGGTGAAGAACAAATGATCTGTTTTGTATAGGAAAAGAAGAATCTACTTTCTAGTCACAGATGTTAACCCAGATTTTGAAAGATCTCACAGT